GGGCCAAATATTTACTAATTCACTTGTCCCTCACTACACCACTCTAAAGAGGTACTATTGCCGTTTCTATTTTACGAATAAGCAGTGTGAGCACAGTCTCCCAACATTATAGAGAGGCAGAGCTAACATCAAACCCAGACAAATTGGTTCCAGAGCCTGAAATTTTAACCACTACATTATTCAGCCTCTCTTAGAAAGTACAGATTTCACCCCATTTTAGAGATGGAAAACTCAAGGCTGAGAGAAACAGGTTCTAGAGTTAACCAACCTTGGGTGTAGAAGCCCCATCTTTGAGCAGCCCACTTGCTATTAGCAATACCTCCCAAAGGTGCTTTTGGAAAAAAAAAAATGTTTATCATTTTTGGGAAATAAATAGATTTTCCAATTTATCAGGCTCGAACTCTTTCAGAAGACACTGAGTCAAACAGGGAGCCACTGCTGATGTGTTTATTTATTAGGGTAGCACTGTGACAGGAGTAACAGATCGACAGGGGTGCCCCTGTCATTATCCCAAATGAACAATCTGTCTCTGACTACAAGAGTCACCCTTGTGATGGCATTCATCTACCCTTCCCTCCCCAGTCCACCGTCACCACAGCGTCCAAACCCTCACTGCTAAGGTATACCCAAAAGCAGAGGTGCATAACAAAGCATTCTTCCCACAGCCCACGTCCTCTCCACCATTCTGTGCCTACTTAGATTCCTTTCTTCCAGAGTATTTACCAAGAGCCGACCCTGAGGGCTGTCCGCCTCCTCATGCCTGACCTTGCACGTGGCACCCCTACGCATGCACCTACCAGAGCCCACTCTGCAAGGACACTAGGGACGTTTGCCTGCCCAGCACAGGGTTGCATGTGTGTGTGCGTGTGTGCACACACATTTAAGTTAGCCAACATTTAAAAAATTGGAATATTTCATAGTAAGAAAATAAATTTCTGGCTCTTTTTCAAAAAAAAAAAAAAGCTTACTAATGCCTTAAACATGCTGATAGTAAAAACCAGCTGTGTGCTTCCATCTGGACTGGCTGACCACCAGACCTACTGGCTCAAAACAGCACATGTGTCCCCTATAGGGCCGTGAACGACATCCCAGGCTCTGAAGAATCTGAACATCTCTGCGGACCCAACCTTGAACCAGTCCTCAGTCTCCTCTCTTCTGACAACTGGTCCACAGCTCACTGTCCCTGGAAACCCACCAATTCCCCCAGTGGCCTCTGCCTCACGTCTTTTTGCTCCCAAAGTCACAGCTCAAAACGACACCTTCTGAGAAGCCATCCTGGGTGCTCCAGTCCTGGGGACACATATGACCAAGACTAGCGACCTCTACAGTGACTGCTCTCCAGCTGGAAGCACTTGGGGAGCTTAAAAAACGTCCAATCACAGACCAGTTAAATCTGAAAAGGTGTGAGCTGGTTTATGATAATGGGTTGCAACATTTCCTTAGAACAAAGGCCCCTTTTTAAACATTAAAATGCTATGATTACGGCTGCAATTTTTGCATCATTTGATGAAAGCAATGGAGGTACTATACAAATCTACATTTAATATACATGTTGATAAATGTATAGGTTTGTGTTTTATTTCACAGAATAACAAGTGCCTATTTTGAGAAGTACACATGAAAGTTTCCTACACCAAAATTAATGCCTGATGTACATGTGAATTCAGAGACTGTCTTCAGTTGCTCTGAGTCTGCACGTGAGTGCAGGACCACGGTTTGAGAAAACTGTCTGAAACCGTGCCCTGAACACTGGATGCATATGACCTTCCTCCTCTTCCCATTATTATTAATCTCTTCAGGTAACAAGGTAGGTACTTCACTTCAACTGTTTTTTTAACATCCTGGAAGGCAGCAAATATCATAGTAAGGCTGTTTGTATTTTTCATATGTAGCACACTGTTCTGCGTATTGGCAGGTTCTTAAAAATACTTACTTATGATGATGACGGTGACAAAGCTGAAAATTATATCCAGTTCCTGCCTCCAAGGAACATCGTGGACTTACAACAGCTTGAGACAGAATGAAAGAGAGATTGCAGAATACACATTTTAAGAGAGAGACGATTTGGAGGGAAAAGAAATCTGGGCAGAATGTAGTGGGAGCTTGTCCACCTAAGGAGGAGGCCTCGAGCAGTCTCACAGATGAGCAGAAACCAGAGATGTGAGAGAGAGAGATGGAAGAGGGAAGACAGGAGAAGTCCCAGGTGGGAAAAAGTATGTTGGAAAAAAATATAAGTACTGCAATGCCCATCATGGGAGAAGATATTAAAACAGCATATCTGTGCTGAGTTTACCTGCCACACAGCACATTTCACTCTTCATCTGGGTTGTTAATATACCTGGGCTCATGTGATCCTCCTAACCTAGGGCATAGAACGCCTGCCCTCATTGTACTGGCAGGCGTGTGCTCAGGTGGGTTCTAAATGAATCGGTATCTGGCAAATATTTGGGGAAGGCCTAAATGATCACTGAGAAGGGGCTGGGGCCCAGGTGGAGTAAATGTGTGTTTTGTGAGAGGAGAAGACCCGCTGCTGCTGGGGAGGTAAGGCCTGGGGGGTGCCCGGCTGGGGGCATACAACCCGCTAGCCAGCAGAGAGCCCTGATAGAGTATGAGAACAAGGGCAAGCAGACCACAACGAGGCAGCAGCTGGGGACACAGGACAGTGCAGAGGCTGCAGGCAGCAGCACGTGAGTCAGCATAACAGCCCATGGCCTGCAGACACCAGAGGTCTGAACCAAAGGCTACTCTGGGGGTGCAGAGGTTGCACAGAGGGGAAATTGTTGGAAGAAACTACAGAAGCGAGGATGGAGGGGCTGGGGAGGAGGGCCAGGACTGTACAATACCACTAGGATTTTCTTTCCCTGAGTCCAGCACTAGGCTCAGAACAGGCAGAGATGTTTTGGGAGGAGATGATCAGGTGGCTTCAGATAGGCTGACTTTGAGATGGTAGGGACAGCTCCAGGCACAGGAAGGTATGGGCAGAAGGCGGGGAGTGATGGACAGAGACTGAAGAGCCCCTACTCCGGGAATACCCTGGAGTTCTCTCTCAGAACCTGACCTGGCCACTGGCAAGCCCCAGACATGGTATCATCTCACGGAGTCTGCGAGGCGACAGGTCCACAGCCGAGAGAGTGCTCAGAGAGGACTCGACCCCGGCCTGAGCGTGGCTGCTTTCCAGGCTCAGATTGGCCAGGCAATCTCATCCCTCAACTTCACCTCCAACCCAACAACTGGCCATCACACCTGGAGCACGGTGCTGACATCAGCTCTGAGGCTACATCACAAATGTCGCCTGTGTGTCCAGGATGTGCTGTCCTGGATCTGCATTATTTCAGGAGAGTCTCTTCTTTCTGGACCTCAATTTCCACATTGATGAGATCGCGGGCTGGACTATCTTAAGTCTCTCCCAGCTCTGATATTCTAAATCCTAGGAAAATATAAATCCCGAACTACCACCATTATAATAAGCTAAAGTGCAGTTAGTATTAGATGGCCACTGTCAAAAAAAAAAAAAAAACAATAACAAAAAATGACTAGCGCAGGTGAGGATGTGGGGTATCTGGAACCCTCGTGCATTGCTGCTGGGAATGTAAAACAGTGCACCTGCTGTGGAAAGTGGTACGGCACCTCTCGAAAAGTTACACATAAAATTGCCATATGATCCAGCAATCACTTCTGTGTGCACGCCAAAAGACCTGAAAGCAGGAATGTGAAAAGATACTTGCACACCCACGTTCGTAGCAGCAGTATCTACAATAGCCAAAGTGGAAGTAACTCAAATATCCACCAACAGATGAATAGATAAAAAAATGTGGTAAATACACAATGTAGGATATTACTATATAGAATATAAATTTTATGATTAATCAACCCCAATTTTAAAAAATTATAGCTAAAATTCAGTTTTCACCCTAAACTTTAGCAGTTCCTGTGTCTAATACGTCTTATTGGTAGGTCACTCTGGCCCGTTCCTCAGTGGTCTCCTCTTCAGAGACCCTTCGTCCCCACCCTCTCACTCCTCCCACCCGCACGAGAAGCTTCTTTTGCTGAGCAGGCTGCAGGCTGTGACTGAGGATGTTGAGCCTGATGTGGGGGACAGCAGAGACACTGCTAAACTGCCCCTTGAGCACAGGGGAATGGGGCAAAATGGGACCCCGGGAGAGGGAGCCCTGATGGAGGGGGCAGGACCAAGGGTGGGCAAAGTTGGGTTGAGTCTGGCTTGAGTGGACTGGGAGGAACTCTCCCCTGGCTCCCCCTGGACTCCGCCTCTGTCACAGGAGCATCTACCAGTACTTCTGGAGTCAGCTGTGTGTTTGTGAGGGTGTGTGGCAGTAAGGCACAGACGCTGCCCGTGTGGATGGACCCCACAGGCTCAGACCAGGCTGGTTCCTCCTTCCCCATCTCCTGCCTGTGGGTGTGGATTCCCAGAATGTAAGTGTCCTCCTCCACAGACATGGTCACAGAGCAAAAGAGAAAATGCTCCGGAGAGAACCACGGCTGTTCACACGGGACCCCGAGTCGTCTTTGCTCAGTCGTTAGCGTTTTCAAGCAGGGGACACCTTTCTAGAAGACCTGTGCAGATGATGTGCAGTTGAGTCTAACTGAGATTCAGATGTGCGTGGGCAGATTAAAAAAGACAGGGACCCTGTCCGGCTCCTCCAGGGCACACCCATGACAGGTGCTCCGGCTGGTGGCACGCGGGCTGGGTGATCGGGCTTCCCTTCCTCACCCACTCCATCAGGAAGCAGGGCAGGTCCTCGGGCTCATCGGGGAATGACTCACTGAGCACACATCCCAAACTCCCTTTGCTACCTCCAGGTTAGAAAAGCTGGGTGTGCCCCACCAGAAACCATGTATAAAATGAAAAAGACATATAAAAAGACATATAAAAACACTTCTGGCATTTCAAAGATCATCAATCATAGCTCCAAATGGTTTTAGCTTAAAATCATCACAAATTTACTAAGTTTCAGGGTGTGGCTCGCTAATTCCCATATCACCTGGGAAGCTCTCAGCTGGGTTTTTATTCTGAGTGCACCTAAGTGCACAGGTGACAGCCAGCGCCCAGCCAGGCTGCACAGGCCTAGGCAGACAGGGCCTGCAGATGGAAAAGGGGGCAGTCACCACCTCTGTGCTCCCAGACCCAGCATCCACAGGCAGCTCTGCTTCATGTTTCTTCCATGTCTCCAGCAGGAACTATCATCTGCGGATCGGAAGTTACAACATTTTCTTACTCTCCAAGAACAGTGGAAGCCGAAGTCCATGGTTATGATGATGCCAGCTCACCGGAATGACATGCCTGCATGATTTATGCCCATTTACCATGTCGGCCAC